CAACAAGCCCGGGATTGAATGGGAACATTTCCACTGTGTGGTTTAGACGGATTGAATAGGGTCCACTTTATACTGAGCTGTTTAGATAGCACGCTTAAGTGTCTGTTGCAACATTCAAAACGATCTGTGCAAAACCAGCAATCTTCTTTTGACCCCTCCGTCTATCCTAACAACTTTTTCCACATTTGACGTCTGAGGAAGTGTAAGAACACGCACCAAGTTCATGTGGAAATAGTACGCTGTGTGTGCGTAATTAACCCTGTTAAGCGTCCATTAAAAAGACGGAGAGAACTCCGTTTGTCCCAACAATCACCAGGTAACGGGCAGGCGGGGATGGCGTCGCTAATTCTGACACGGTCGGGCCCGCGCACGTAGGTATGCGCCAAGTACCGCATGATCCCTTCCTTCCCAAACCCCGAGGAGAAAAACTCTTTTGCGGGATGTTTGTGTTTTGGTCTGGTGTTTTGAAGGTCTTAAATGGCCGTTTGTATTAATTAGAATTAAGAATGAAAGTGTCAAACCTGTTGGCTTAGAGGGCACACAAAGGACTGAGTGATGTATTGTGGAGTCGTGCGCTTTCACCGGGGATAGTCGTCCATCATAAGGTATAACTGAGTCTGAGAAGCTTTTTGCTTTTCTGTAAAGCTGGATAATACGTCTTCTGTAGTGTAGAGAGTGTTAGCGTCGGCTGTAATACAAACAAAGGTAGATACAACAACAAACTAGTGATTTTACTTTTAGACTTAGCTCTTTCTGGACAAACTATGGCTTCCAACTCGGGATATGTGACCGGTCACCAAAAAAGGAACAGGTCATCTTGATTGACCATCACGTCAATTTCTTCAAAGATCTTCTCTGACCAAAAGAATGGTAGCTCGAACAGGACTTCCATCGAAACACTGTATATAGGTCAATATACATATATACATCATTTACCTATAAAGACATCAATTTTCAAGTTGATCAAACCCATCTCGGTTTTATCATGCCTCAGCATCTATGTTTCTACTTGATACTAGTATTAGTAGTAGATAATCAGATTCTCCTCTACTGTTTTCGTACGTTTCTATTCTTCACATACTGTGTAAGCCCATTTCCCATGTGTTGAGAAATAATATTCGGTGCTGGGTGTACATTGTAGATTGGGGACCAGGGTATCTATTGCCGCTCGGATCTAGTGGATGAAACATTACCAGTGACAAGCGAACCTTGCAAAGGTTCTCTTGTATACGAACCATCGTCGGTTGAAATTAAGTTTATGATATCTTCCTTCGGCTAACGTTTGGCACTTCAACTCTTTAATTGAGAATATACTATTACTTCTCTAGCAAATGTATGCAAAAGCTTTACTAACAAACACGACAACACGTAATGAAACAATACAAGCACGTCATACATTTGTGCACTTGTCAGACCCAACCCCACTTCTTCCTTTTTCACGGACAATTTCCCAACTATTCCTCCTCCTCTCCCTCCTATCTACATGTACAAGAAAGGCACTTTGTCCCGACTGTTGTCTAAACACCGCCACCCCGCCCTAGCAACTTCACGTGCCCGCCGCGCCCTGCCGCGTCCTTCTCAGCGGTTCATCCCGTGAAACCGCACGGAAAAAAACACGGACGTGACCGCTTTTTGGGTGCTTCACCCTGGTACTTCCTGTACTTTTCAATGGTTCTGTTGTTGACGTGATGTAGATGGAATGTTTTACTTTCCCTGAAGATGAAAAGAGACATGGAAAACGCTCAGTAGTAGTACAGAAAGATCCATACACCTTCCGAATAACACATGGAGGTTAACGTATGTATGTGTGTATTAAAGGGGAGGACAGTTAACTTGTTTTTCATGTCGTCAGCTTTTCAAACTGTCGAGAGAAAATATTGTGAAAGTGGAAGGCATTATTTTCTTGGCTACATGGTGTTCTTAAAGGAAACATCTTACATAAAAGTTGTTGATGGTAAGTTGACCGGTAGACTGAATCAAAACACTCTCCAGCTGACCGAACAATATGTACAAGCATGAAAGCTCGTCTTTACTGATGGATAAAATGATAACTACTGTGAAATTCAGTGAGTGTGTATTGCATTGTGTTTGGACCAAAGGTTTAGATGGTTATCATATCAAAACATCTCCAAGTGTTTGTCTTGTCACAAGCCAACCGGACAAGTTATGTTAGCTTCTTTAGCGATCATTCTAGTGCCTTTAAGTTTGGCTTGATGTGTTTTAAATTCGTTATTATGTTAAGGTTTCTCCAAAACATGATGTAACAAAGCTAAGCTGTACTGTGGATTGTTTGTGCCGTCTTGGTATGTATACTTAAGGTTGTGTCCAAGGGAGATTTGATAATAGCTAAATCTCCGAAAACAAGGCCGGACAAAAGTTGACGGTCAGAATTTCTGTATGCGTTGTTGATGCTATCTGGTAACTGTTGCTTTTACCGCCGTACTGGCGAGTGGCGTTATACCACGGAACATTTGTACCGTGTGGCTGTGTGCTTTCTCTCTGCAAGACTTCCAAAACTAACAATATTTCAGTAGGTGTTGACCGCTGGCTTCCCGCGTGTCCATTCAATGTCCGTTCTGGCTCCGGACGTCCGAACTGACCATTCCATTGAGCCCAGCTGTTGACCAATCTTGAACAACATGCGTGTTTATTCTAGCCGGTGAACATTCAAAACTTTACAACCGAATATTGAGAAACAAAATAAGCCCGTTGTTGCCCCTTGTACTGAGTCAACTATACGGTCTCAACTGTTCTCCTCTTTTATTAAGTATTCATTTGCATAGGACAAATCCGCGACAGCTATGACAATGTCAGCTTCAGGTTAGGGTAATCTATTGACTTCATATAAGTCAAACTGTGGCAGTTTTGGTACGAGATCTATTGTAAATATTTGATTGCTTACCGTGGACCCATCGATAGCGTGATGTGTGTGTATAAAACGCACGCTGGTTGCAAAGCAATCGTTCGTTGATGTAGAATTGGACATTGATAGATCATCCTAATCATTTATCTCACAGCATGCCCTGCTTCAAGTTACGAACCTAATCCAAGAATAAGATGTTAGAGCGAATATTAAAGTTTTACAGTTTATGCCCAGTGTTGTCCATTAACAAATGTGTTGATGTTGAACAATGGTTGGAGCGGCCCACGCCACGTTGTTCATTCAGTGTCCGTCCCGTCATGGCTGGGTGTAGTGTATAGTGAGTAATCATGCCAGTTTAGAAGTGACACCATACAGAAGCATTTCCTACAAGAACGGAAGGACGGAGGCCATTGAAACTCAGAGCACGCGTCATGTAGCGTGGCCCCCACCTAACTCCACCTTTTTGTACACCTGTGCAGGTGTGCTGAGCGAACAAAAAGACACATGTTTCTGTTTAAAGCTGGTTTCGTTCATCGTTCCATTCTTGGATTTGTTTCAGTTGTTATTTTCCATCATGTTTACGGCTTTTAGCTAACTCACAAACAATGACACCCGAGCCACCAATTTACTGAACCACCTGTTACACATAACAGTCATGCAGTTGGCAAAAAATTTCTTCCCTTCTTAATTCTAAACGTACTCGTCACATGTTAGCTTACTTTATCTGAAGAGTTCTGCTTATATCTAAATTTAGAGGTTTGTTGCTTCATAAATATTGATAGGACGGTATCGTCCCTCTTATAGTGTTTGCGGCTTAAGATTCTGAATAACTTCTTAGAACACAAAGATGCTACAAGCATGAGAGGCAGAACATGATTCACGGATTCCCAGTATCTCCGCTCTTATCGTTCACATCGCTTCCTCTCCGTATCTCCTGAGTTGCGTCCACTACGTTTTACATAACCAATGGCTTAGAACAGACCAATAATCGTCTCGCTAACCCTCCGCACACACGTGATGCCATTTCAGCGCCTGCTCGACCCAGAGCAACGTTTGCCCTGCAAACTTCTTAACCCAACAGTTGAAGCGATAAGTTTGATCGGTCCCAGATAACATCTAACCTATTTTATTAAAGAAAACGGAGGTACGCCCCCACGACAAACGCCGGCTGACAGTTTTGACGGGAGTGTTGTGTACCTGGTTTCTGTAGCAAGTCGACGCCATCAAAACAGTCCCTAATGGTGGTTTTAAGAAGTGACACACTCTAATGTAGGCTGGTGGACTACTGTTGTATCTGGCATCGCACTGACAAAGCCAAAGTCACCAGCAATACTATCTTTACAACTCGTAATTGCGGGTTAATGGCCATGTACATAATGGGATGGCGTTTACATTGAAGTCTGGGCATTGAAGGATTGCCCTGCACACACACGGTGTAAAAGTTGTCCGACTGCTTTACGACATAAGACTTCCGCTAAGACGTGCAACGGTCATTTCTTGAGTGTGTCGGTCTTTTTTCCTGAGAGGTCTCTGTGTTCAACAAATCCTTTGCATACTGGGAGTGAAGAGCAGAAATATTTGCAAGTTGAAGCTGATGTCGACGGTATGTAGCGTCTCGCGTCTGTGTGGCCACGACGATAAGTGGATGATAAAGTATGTGCAAAACATTGACTTTGAATCATTTACAAAACAAAGTGACATTTATCACTAAGCTAAAGCCCAAAGGCCAAGGAACGTTTGTAAACTACGATGTAATGATTTAGGACGCAGTGATTTCGTGTAGGCTGTAACACTGACAGGTGCCTTTGCCTCCACCATGTGTAACTTCGAAAATAGTCGAAAAATAGCCAAATAAAGTTCTTGATTTTGTGCTAGAAGGTCAGAAAAGGAAACTTGTCACCACAGGAGTGCGGTGTTAGTAATGGAAGGAACAAGTGGTTGAAGAGGCACCTATGCGTTCACCCCGCCAGCACCGAGCCCCGCCAGAACACATACATACGTACATCAGCCTGACGCATTCTTCCCGCAGACGACATCTGCCTAGAAACCCTCCCCACCTAACAAACACTCACCGGGGCTGGGCCGGACACTTCCCACTCATATCAACAAAACACATCAAGAACACGACAAGAGGGGATGAACTTGTATGGATGGTTTATTTTGGGTCTGAGCTGCCCACGTGTGTGTGTATGTGTGTGTGGCCAGACCGCTAGGCTGGCCGGGCCTACATGAATCAGCGGGCCGTTACAAAAACCGTACGTGGCAAGAAGAACAACAAAAACAAGTTTTCAACGGATCAACAATCAGATTTAGCGAAACAGATAAGTGCGAAACGTTAAAACGCAGGTCTAACATGTTTTGGAAACAACATAAGTCAGTAGACTACATACAAATAATACAATATTGCAAAGGTAATATATTACAATCAAACATTGCTCAACACGTCGCAGTTTTGTGGAAAAAGTGATGGGAATAAGCATCAACACGCAGGCAAGCTAGGGAATACATATAGTTTACAATATAGATGTTAGGCACGCCACAAATATAGATATGGAACAACACAGCATCAGGGTCTGTTATAGATAAGAGTTTACACAGAACCAACGACATAGCTAGAGGACTGGCCTGAGCGTCGATGTTCAATTTTGAGAGGTGAAATTCATTGTGTCCCAACGTCGTCTTTACGTACTCATAAAGTAGTCAATTAATTCTAAAAACTATCTGAAGGAACAGATTTTGCAGCCACTAAGAAGTTTGATGCTTAAGCTAGACTTAAGACAGGCTATTAGCTAAGTACTGTCGGTGAAACACGTTTCACTCCGAAGTCAAAAGAACTTGTCAAGAATTTCGTGATAAATGTCAGCCAAACTGTCGTCGTATGTGCGTCGCAGACGAAACATTTTCTGTCCTTCAGTTACAAGCAGCGAACCCTACTTCCTCTGACTGCGCCATTTTACTGCTGACTCACACGCACAGTACAGGTACATAAAACACGCCTAACTCTGTAACAAAGATTGCAGGCGCACCCAATATTTGCCTTCTCTCAATATTTCACCAGTAAGGAAAAATGGAAGTACACATGGTTTATCTAACTGAGATATTCGATACCGGGTTGATTTTAGGGGGACAAAAACTCTGGATATTCGATCTAGGTTGTAGCTACGCTCAGGATGTTTACAAGTCAAATGGTGCAAGCGACAGTACGGAGAAGTAAGCTACTGTCATTCTTCAGCTTTTCCTTAGTCTGGTGGCAAGAGCGAAAACAAAAACACTAACGTTTTGTGAAAAAAAAACAGAGAAGGTTTTTGGAAGTTGAATCAGTTGATACTATAGAGAATGAAGAGTGATGTCAAGAAAAAACACAAGCGTCACCCGTGGCACAGGTGCAGTTTCGGGCTACAATACACCAAGGGCCCGAGCGATTCGCTTGCTGTCACCCTATTCACCAAAGCTTGTTCACGCACACGGCAAGACATGTCCGCCATGATAGAATTACCTCAAACGAAAAACAAGTTTTTCTGCAGCGATTATACTGGGCCATGTAATCACAGAATACTCCATACAAGTGGGTCCTACTGTCACAAAAGGTTGATATTTCGTTTCCAGTACTTCAAAATTGAGCACTTTTGTCAGTGGAAAAGGACAAAACTGTTGAGTTGTCCGGCCGTCTAAAATTTCTGCGTAAACGCATTCGGCGAAACGCGCTCTAGAGAGGGCTGTACCGTGTCTGTTGTACAAGTAAAATAACACAGAGGAATACTGTATTTCTATACAGCATGGTAATTACATGGCATTAATGACATTCTGTCCCAAATGTTGGAGTATGGAAAGGAGAGATTGACTGGGAACGACTGAAACAATTGTTTCAACATCGCGATCGAAAAAGTACTAGAGTATGTTGTTAATTCATATCCTGATAGTCCACAAAGACAGATTTTACTAAAGAGCACTTCTACACATCAACATATCATCTTAAGTTTCAATCTACTTGAGAGTTGAGTACTCTCAGATTAAAAACCAGGTCTAGAAAACCGGACATTCCTAACACTGAGTTGTGTTGTGGTCGCAATGATAATGACAAAATATACAATAAATTCTACCATACATTCAATAAACACTAAAACAGCTGCCTGAGCTTATTGTGTATACCTTTAAAAATGATTTACGTCAAATCATAGGTAAGTACACGGCAATTAATGTAAATAGTTCTGGTCTACACGATTTCTTAATCCAAAAATAATCAAACCAAATCCAGCTTGGTCTAACAACATTACAGGCTTTGTGATTAAGGAGGTGGACAGCACGTTCGATAAATAGAACCGTGGTCGCCGGTCTTGGTCGACACTATACCTATCAAAATTATTTACACCTCACATTCTGTTACCAAATTAGACTTCATTTCAAGAGGAACAATTGTCAGAGACACACATTGAGTTCTTTTGTCAGAAATTAAAACTTCTGACAAGCGTCGAATATACAGTGAGTTCGGTTGAGTCCGTAGAGTTTAGGACGCGTTCAAAGTGGCAACGTTGAAAGTGTACCTGTGTTGCGGCGAGGGCGTGTGGAGGTTCGCCGTGGTCATCGGGAGCGTTACCGGGACGTGGTGGGCGAGGAAGCTGGCGTGTTGGAGACCTGCGCCGCGGAGCGCCTCCATCTGGTACCGGTAGAGCGGTAGGACGGCCGCGCCCGCGGGGTAGATCGCGTTCGGCGCCGCCAGGCCCATGTGTGGTGCCGCCGAGCAGGGGATCGGCTTGACCGGCTCGCAGACACCATTTCTCTTCGGGATCAAACTCTGCCACGCCGGGTGAAGATGCTGGCCCGCTGTGATGGTTTTCGGGGAGTCCGTGTACTTAAAGTCCGGTTTGCTAAGGATGGCGTCGATGGAAAAGCTGCTGTTGAGTTTCGGCGAGCGCTTCTCGGCCTCTGCCTTTTCCTCCGCCAGTCGGGTGGCGGCGACCTTACGGTTGGCCTTGCGGTTGATCCTCTTTCTGCGGCGGCGGAACACCCCGTCAGCGAACGTGTACTCAGAGTTGGGGTTGATGGTCCAGTAGTTGTCCTTGCCCCACGGACGGGAGGGGTCGCGAAGCACCTGTGCCGATAGACAAGATAAAGGATAAGTCTGCGCGCAAACAGTCGTCTGAATTCGAACAACGTAACAGGTGGCAGCGTCATTGTACGACTCGGACGGCAAATAGGTAGATATTATGATGATGAAAATTCAAGATTGGTCAAATAATTTGATCCCTTAACCCGTCCTTCACGAAACCTTTTCCTTCTTTTGGTTCATATTATATTGAGAAATGTTTCCCCAATAACCACATGAAATTAAGTCCTCGCAATAGAAATAAAGCCCAAGAAACTGTAGTGATCAAATATTCCAAACAAGGTGGTCCCACAAGAATGATTTACTTCTGTATTAGAGGAGGAACACTTTTCACTCAACAAAAGATCACTGAAAAGACTTCCCTGTCGTCTATTCCTGTCGTGTTTTAACGAAAGGTTATTTCAGATATCAAACTAAGCCTCTTAATTCATTGTGTCGCTAAGATTATATTTTCCACGTTGATGATAAAGTGATGTGGATGAAGATAAAGCTACCTTTGTGAAGCACTCGTTGAGACTGAGGTTGTGTCTGACGGAGTTTCTCCAGCCGGTGTAGGGGCCGCGGAAGAACTCGAACTTCTTCATCAGGTAGTCGTTAATTTCCGCCAGAGTCAGTCGGTTGTTCGGGGAGTCGCGGATGGCCATGGCGATGAGGGCGATGTATGAGAACGGCGGCTTTGGCCGGCGGTGGTACGTGGGCTTCACGCACTTGCCGTCGATGTTGTTGGCCTCGGCGGAGTTGTTCTCGGTGGCGGAGTCGGCCGGACTCGGGACGACGTCGTTGTCGGACTCCCTCGCCGACTCGTCCTCGGGAGGAGAGCCGCACGGCTCCGAGGGAGACAGGACCGTCTCTTCGGCGTCGTTGTCCATCGTCTCGACGTCGACGAGTCCGTCGGTTTCTTCCCGGGCAGGCTCCGCGGGGATTGTCAGTTGTTGTGGTTCGTGGTGGTTTTCCATGTCTTTAAAAACGTCTGCAGGATCGAGACTGGCGTCGGATCAAAAAGTTCTCAATGTCTGAGCGGTAAAGGCGATTTTCTCCGCGAGTGAGCAGAGAGGTCGGCGTCTCCCGGACGGGTTGACGGGGAGGTAGCGGCAGTTGGGAGCGGGGAGCGTACTTAGGTCGGTCCGTAAGGCGGACTCCGTTAAGCCTGTCTCGGCAGCAGCAGGTACAGGGTTGCGTCAGGTAGGACCGGGCTGTGCGGTATGCTGGCGTCGCGTACACCTGGGTTTAACACAGCGCCAGGTAATACACGGCCGGGCGTGACGTCACACCCAATCCATACCCAGGTTTGCTCTGGTGTCAAATGTAGCCCGCCCACCCGGCTTAATGTGTTATCTGACACCCGGGGCATTCTTATGATAATACAGGGGGAGGGGATACACAACCACTTGTCCCTCCTCCTCCACTACAGTACAAATTCACACTTAGACACCTTCCCAAATAATAACGGGTCCGCCTATATACATTCCAAACTCCACTAAGTCCCCGCCAAGGTAACTCTTGTCTCCAATCGATTATTTAGTACAAAGTAGGTGGTTGAAATTCCCAATAATTCCCGAGTAGCATAAACAACAGCGCAGATACAGATACACACTGACAAAGCTTGGCTATTGAGCTGGAGCTGCATAGTCAAACATCAGACTATGGGGGTAACGGCAAACAAAGAAACTAGAAACAGTTCCAAACACCAGACCAGCTCGGGGAATCGACTGAAAAACTCAACAAACTAACCACAAGACTACACTACACTTGAAAACTGAACAAATGTATCACTGAAACATTTTCGACTTTTTCCAACAATTTAAATGTTGCCCTTGTCTTAAACCATTCGCAGCCTAACAAACCTTGGCGTTAGAATTACAAATAAAACTGGTAATATTGTTTGGTTTGGTGGATCAAAAACGCCAAAGAAGTCACGTATGATCGTACAGAACTATTGGGTAATATTGGTCAGGATTCCAAGGTGCTGCCTGCCTCTCCCGGGCGGTGTTATCGTGCATTGATGTGTACTTTTCGTGTCGTTTGTTTTTAATTGACGCATCAAACACTTGAGTAAACGGTAATTTAGCGCTGATAGACACCTTTGATCCCGACTGTGGTGACGACTAAACACAGAGAAAGGATTGTGAACATTATTAATAACCCGGTCTGCTTGTCAAATCTCAGATAACAGCCTGCACGATCGTTCTATATCACCGATAAAACTCAGCAGTTAAAACAAAATAGATCGAGCGAATAAAGAACTGATTATGTTGCCAAATAACATATCTCACTAATGTTTCACAAACGAAGCGTACGTAAATTACTGACATTTAGATATTTGTTTAATGTTCTTGTGTACACTGTTTTGCGACAACATATATGTAGTTATCAGATGGCAATTGTAAACGCGTTACCAAGTCCAGCGTTTGTGTTTAAGGTATTTGACAGGTAGATAAATCGTATGTGGCACCAATCGATTAAATCATACATCTATCAATAAGAACCAGTGGGATGCTGCGAGGGCCAGGCTATTTTCATATCGGAATTATATACAGGTATCATAGGTATTTGAACCGTTTTACCATTCAAATTGTATTTCAAAACGGTCGTTTGTTTTGATTCCGGTCGACGTTGCTTGTCTTGGCTTTTGTAATGTGCCAACAGATTTCAGATAAGTGTGGCGCCAGTTGTCCAGGTTTACTCCTACCGAACTGGATCCACGTTGACAGGTGCATCAGCAAAGGTTTTATCCGGGTGCTGCAATTACTACAACTATTAGCAATGTTACAGAAGTTCATCTGCAGTAGAATTAATGCTGTTGTCATGGCTCTGAAAGATTACTTACATTTGATCTTGAATTTACCATGTACTGACAACTTCCTGTCTTGCCACATACGGCCCTAATGATTGATTCACTTTATTTTGTACATAGACAAATTTATTTTGATTAAATTGTTCTTTATTGTTTCTTTGAGGCACTCTAATTACAACGTTGTGTGAACCAACTCCCGTTGACGGTGAGGGACGAACCATGGACAACCGAGGGGGCTGCATGTTTTTCATCCATCCCCAAACGACTATGGTTTGTCCCTGAGCTGTTCCGACACCGCACTGTCTTCCTTACGTAAGCTGACAAGAATGGAGGCGAGATTAAGGAGACAAATAGTGTACCATGTCTCCGTCCCGACTTAGCCCGAGTCCTTTTCTAACAGGTGGTTAAAGGCAAGACGACAGAACGTCTTACCGCAGGAGGGATAATCTGCTTAGCTTCCGGATTTCTCATCCCTGGATCTCCTGGTTAAACCACCTTCTTATTGTGGGTGTAAAGAATGGACAATAAACCGTGGAGCTAGAGTCAGTGGTCCATAGTTAACCTACTGCGCGGTTGGTTAGTAGAGGCCTTCCGTTTCTGTTTCTCCGTATCTAGTGACAGAGGCTACAGGATGTCTTATTCTATTATAAACACCCCAAACAATATAAAATGAATGTATTTGTATGGAAAAAGGTGGAAAAGTGGTGAAAAGGCATTATCGTTATTGTATGTTTATCGTTGTTGCGTCGACCCTCAGTAGGGTATAAGACTGTCCAAAACCCACTCTATATCATTGTCTTGTGTTGTGATTCTAAGAACTACGACTGTCCGAAGACACCAAAACAAACAAACAATAACAACAAAACACTCCAGCTGGAACAGGTGTTAGCGACATCTATGGTAGAGAAGAATTTGGTTCTGCTACATCAGTAATCCTCAGGTATTTACCGTGTTGTTTACAGGGGGTTGGTTACCGCTTAATTGATAAAACGATAAATAAACAAGAAGATTATCTTTATCTTTCTGTCCCTACAAACACAATTGGAGCTAAAACAAAGGCTGCTACTGACTGGGGTTTCCACTGTGTCTATACTGGACTTTCGTAAAATGAGATACTAGTAGACATCACAACTCAGATTATGTGTAGCAGAATACTAGTATACCTACCTAGAATGTAACGTTACATAACAGATAATTATATGATTAAAACCACATCATATATGGAATTTTACGAACTGCCAACGCCAATAAATATCTAACATTTCGCCTGAATAAAAGGGCACCGTGGACATGGAAAATTGATTAGAAAGCCGTAGGACATTGGTAATCTGAAGCTTGGTCTTGGGGTTGATACGACGTATCTTAAACAGGAACAGGGAAAAGCTTCCCGTATTTGTCCCTTATCCACACACTCATCTGAAATACAAATTGTTTGTCCCAGAAGCCGTGAAAATTCATAAGCTAGAGAATAAACAAGGATGCATGGGGATTCAAATAAACTACATTTGTATCTGTGAACGCCCATGAAATGTATGTAGTTTCCTCGTGATGTAGCTGTTATCTTACGTCATGCATATGGGTTCAACAGTCCAGGTGAGAATATCAATGATTCCTGTATGTGTAAATGTCATCAGCGATAGACACAGATAGTCGTCACAGTTCCTTACCCTTACACACTGTAATCCAGCGATAGCGAAGGATAACTTCACATCATATCAGTAGTAGTCTCATACTAGCCCCATTCCCCTTTGCTAAATTGTTCTGTTGCTAGAGATAGTCAGAAACTGAATTCAAAGAATCTCTATCAATGCAGTTATTTGATTTTAATGTCATCAGTTGGACAGATATATAGCTCTCGCATCCAGGCAAAGACTTGTGTAGGATTAGGTTTTATACCAATTTTCTGATAACATATCTTCCTAGTCTCATACTCTTCACTTTCAGTTAGTTCTACCCACAAAACAGGACGGCAAGACATGAAGTATTTATAATGCACACATACAAATCACTTACCGGCTTTGAAACAACATATCTAATGTGCATTATTTCCAAAACTGCAAACAAGGGAAGAAGCGATATTTGTACATTCCTCCCACCACTATGTAAACTGTTGGTTCGCCCATCAGCGGGCGCTTTGAAATGGCTATTTAATGAACTGATAGCGCTGATATCTAGTAACTAGGCTAGCTATCTGCTGCCCACATCGCCAATGCAGCACAACTAGCCGACATCTTAACTCCTTTATCGTCGATTCTCTCGCCTTATCTCAGGAGCGTGGCTCGTCTTAGGAACAACAAGACGCCACGGAATGTCTTAGGAGGGTTCATTCTCCATACGTCTAAAGTTGGGGCTTTCTGATAAGACGTAATTGGAGTAGGTTATAGAATATACCTCTACTGCAGTGTGTGTAGTATTTGGTTCAAACCGTGCCCTTGACACTTTTCCCCCAAAATCGGATACATATTTGAAACAAAAAGAGTCTACGGAATATCCAGAAGTGGGGTGGGCTTTCTTTTTTTCTAAAGCGTTCAGTTTTCTGATAAAGAGTAAATGGAGTAGGTCATAGAGTATTATTTACTATGCGTCGATGCTTATTTTGTTCAAAACAGGGACCTTGACCCAGTTCTCCAAAATTGGATACCTCTTCCAAACAACAAGATGCTACAGGATATGACGGTGTAGGGTGGGGACCCTTTCTTCTAACCGTTGACTTTGTTGATTTTTGATAAGAAGTTTTCAAAAGTAGGTTTTAGAATATTCTTTCACTGCGCTTTGCCTCTATTTTGTTCAGAGCAGAGTCCTTGACACATTTTGGATACGTCATTGAGCAGATAACGCTTGTGTACTGAAGACGTTTTGATATCGTTCCCACGCTGTACATAACAGTCTGTATTGTACCGCGGAATGTACTGTTGGGTTGGGTATGAAGAGCCGTGTGCACTTTTGTGACCTTCAAAATACTGAGCGCTTTTTTCGTAGCGAAACAAGATGGTCAGACTGTTGTCACTGTATTAGTGTCCACTGTAAGTTTTTAAATTATGTACTGTTTACTGTTTTGTGTGTTGTATATTTGTCGTCTATGTACAAGGGGATTAACAGTATCATATACAGTAGGATTATGTAAAACTATAATGAGAATTTGATTCACGATTTGGACAAAATCTCACTTTGATACGTAAACATTCGATTTGTCCCTGAATAGCAACCACGCACATATTTATCATCAACTTCTCTGACGTTTCAAACAGTTGTCAGCGTGTTTATCGTTATTTCCATATCTCCAAACTGCGGCCTTGGAATGCCTGCTATGATAAACTGTGCACACAATGCCTGCCCCGTGTTGGGCTATACGTGTCAGCCTGGGTACACACGTCTCAACAGCCCCGGCAGATGTATGGCACCCGTTTGGCACGAACAGACGACAAAACGTCGTCCCGCCATTAGAAGCCTTTCACTAAT